TAAACAAATGGGACCTAGTTAAACTTACAAGCTTTTGCACATCAAAGAAAGTCATAAGAAAACAAAACAATGTCCTATGGCATGGGACATAATATTTGCAAGTGATGTGACTGACAAAAGTTTAATTTCCAGACTATGTAAACAGCTTATACAACTTCATATAGCAGCACTATGTACAATAGCCAAAACATGGAAACAACATAAATATTCATCGGCAGATGACTGGATAAAGAAGTTGTGGTACATTTATACAATGGAATGCTACTCAGCCGTAAAAATATAATAAAATAATGCCATTTGAAGTAACAGGGATGGACCTGGAGATCATCATTTAAGTGAAGGAAACCAAAAAAAGAAAGAAAAATACCATATGATATCACTGATATGTGAAATCTTAAAAAAAAAAAAAGACAATAATGTGCTTATGTGTAAAACAGAAACAGACTCAGAGACAGAGTAAGCATTCTTATAGTTACTGGGTAAAAGGAGATGGGAAGGGATAAATTGGGAGTTCAATATTTGCAAGTATTAACTACTATATACAAAATAGATAAAAAAACAAATTTCTTCTGTATAGCACAGTGAACTGTATTCAATATTTTATAATAACTTATAATAAATAATAATATGAAAATGAATATATGTATGTATATACATGACTGAAATATTATGTGGTACATCAGATTTTGTCACATTGTAACTGACTATACTTCAATAAAACTAAATCAACCAACCAAACAAAAAACTATTAAGTAGATATAATAGTTGAATAGAGTTTATAATCTGTATAATTTTTATATTTTAATTTTATCTGTACTGTAAATTACTCTCTTCAAATCTAGTTTTCTAGCATGCTAAACATCTTACTTGTTTTTGAACAAATTAACCTGATAGAACAATAATAATCATGTATAAAACAAGCTTCAGGCAATTATAATATTTTAAGCTCTTAATATTAATAAGTCTACTTATAAATTATTTAAAAGAGAATTTTAAGCACAAATCTCTCATAGTGTCAAAGAAAAAATATTTCTTGTCAATCATGGAGTAATCGGCTTAAATAAATCTTTTATTTTGGAGCTTCTGTGACATTTTCCTGTTTATTCTTAACACTCCCACAATAATACCCTGAATGAGTTTACACTGGACTTTTTTCAGGGTAGAAAAATTGGTGGAATGAAAAATATTCTGTGGTTGAGAAACATGAAAGACTTTCACCATGTTGGCTCTTTGATACATCTTTGTTCTTGAGTAATTAATTGCCCTTTTGCAAATTAAAAGCTCTGATCTCCCTGCTGTCATGGATGCATGGGCTATCTCTCTAGTCTTTACATTATACCTTCAATAAGGCAAAGGGGTGTTTGAACAGTACATAGAATATGTTCCATTGCTTGGTGGAAACACAAGCCATCTTCTAGAAGACTTTTGCAGCTGATATTACCAATCTGCTTCATGAACTGTACAATACATTCAAGGAGAGAGAGAGCAGACTAAAATTAGCAGTCTAATTTTAGTGTATGATAACTTGCAGGTCAAATATAAGGCAGGTAGTCTAGACCAGAGGTTGGCTTCTGACATATTTATTTGTCAATTTACCAGTGAAAATACTTATCATGTTACTATTGTATGGGATTCCCCCTTACTTAAGGGTAAGATATGCAGTATATCTCATACAGACTCACAGAAATGTAGCCTTATACATCACAACACAGTCTTGACTTTAGGGAAGTAAAATATTTTATATTTGTGGGGATTTTTCCTTATTTTTTAGCCATCCTGAACAAACTATAATACAACTAGGGATTCTAAAGTCAGACCTCAAAATATACAACAGGAAGATAAAGCTGGAACCAAGAAATATGTTTAGGATTTTTTGAGGCTAGTGCTGGATGCAATTTCCTACTGGATATTTTCTGTTGCTCTGGAATACAAGTGGAAGCAAGGATAATGTTAAATTCAGATTACTGATTTTCTCAAGGCAGCATTTCAGTGTTTCCCCAACTTTAATTAACATGTGCTTCCAGAGCCTCTAGATGCCCTGAAATTTTATTGAGAATTCCAGCAGTAAAATTTTAATGTCATTAGGAAGAAAGAAAACGAATTTTTATTAACACCATGTGCTAGGCACTGTGTTAGATATGCTCAAAGCTGTTGTTCTTTCAGATGCTTACAGATACCTTAGAATACAAGTGTAAATGCATCTTTTCAGAACAAGATGAGACTCAGAAAGGTCTGTAACTTCCCTCTGCCTTTAATAACCTCAGAAAAGGATTCAGCACTCTTTTATCTTACTCTAAAATGCAGCTTTTTTTCTTACACAACTTTACTGCTGAGGAATTATACAGAAGAGGTTGATAAGCTCTTGTATGGTTTTACCTAAAAGGATCATAAAATGACTTCATTAAAGATTTAGGACATTTCCTAAGCAGCAGCCTTTTAAACATTACCTGCTAGAGAAAGCTGTGGAGTCTCATCTCTGAGGATATGTGTAAGTTAACTGAAATGCACTGTTCTTTAAGTTCTTATTGCCTAATAATAGGAAGACATGAACTTTGAG